AAGGTAGTGTTGTTTGTTGTGTGTGTGTGTGTGTGTGTGTGGGGGGAATGACTCAATCCAGTCCAGAAAGCAGAACGGGCGTTTCCAAAAAACCCACCAGCCTCTTTCTGACCCGCATCTATTGTGGTGTTGGCTTGTTTGCAAACCACCCCACAAATGCTTCCCAGCGGGCAGGCGCTAATGCTGGGTGCCAAACCAGGGAGGGGTGGCTTTAGCCACTACCTAGAGCAGGATACTCCCAATTTCTCCTCGGCCCCCTTCCCCTTAGACACACCCACCTCGGTGCTTAAGTTTTGTCCCACAGTCTCACCTCTGTTGCTTGTCTACTGAGGCTGGGGGGCACCTTTGCCTTGAAGTTTGATCAGTCACTGTACCGATGGGGGATTCTTTGATTGGTACAGTATTGCGTATAGCTTTTATGAACGTTAAACGCTTTCCCCAGCGTGTGTGTGTGTGTGTGTGTGTGTGTGTGTGTGTGTACACACTTATGCACCTATCCTTTACAATGGTTCTCCATTGTAAGGGACTGAATGTGTGTGTGTGTGTGTGTGTTCCTAACAGTCTGGCCTCCGACTGACGTCACGCACAAACTCATTTGCACAGAAATAGATTTTAGTTCAGTTCCCCCCCCCCCCTTCCACCTCGGATGGTTGTAATAATATTCTGGCTTCTCGCCAAGTATAGGAGTTACCATAGAAACAATAAAACTGCAGCGATTCAGGGCCCCAGCTAGAACGTCTCCTATAGTAAATATTAAAGTAACGGGGAAGGGGGAAGGGGAAGAGGAAGGAGCTGGGGGGGGCAGCAATTACATTGACATCTGCGACTTTCTGCCTCTCTCTGCACTTGATTGCATCGACGGGTGATGTATTTCCCAGAGGGACTAGATTGTAACCCCACTTTACTTAGTGCTGCAAACGTCCTGCTCAGAGTCTCAAACTCGGGATAAAATGTTGGCAAAACCCTTTATTTTTCCTTTCCATGTTGCCTTTTTTCGTGTGTGTGTGTGTGTGGGGTGGGGGACGGGGACTGAACCTTGCAGACAAGTTATGTTTTTCCGCGACTACAAATTCTGCCCGGTGCTTATCTTTGTGCCTAGCCCTGGAGTGTTGACTTCAATCACCTTCTGCTTTCCAAGCAAATATGCCACCCTCTCTCTCCTGGGGCGGGCATAGGTAGACACACACTTAAAAAAAAAGTCTCCGAACCGCCCCCTGCCACCCCCCCCCCCGCCACAAAGCAAATCTATTCATTCTAGCAAAGGCGACCTATTGTTTTTTTCTATCTCTATTTGGGTGCCTGGCTGTGAAAAGCCGAAGCACGTCCCAGGTTTGAAAACCACACCACCACCACCCAATCCACGCGCGTGCCCGCGAATCCAGGTCCAATTGTTAAATTCATCTCCTGTCTTAATGAGGTGTGTGGCCGTGTGGCTTCTGTCACGGGCAAGGGGCCAACAGCCGGCTCTGGAGTCTCTATAGAAACCATGAGGCACGAGCGGAAAATGCCTTTGACCGTAAAACAAAATGCCCTCGTATTAAAACATATAAATACCCGAAGGGGGGCAGGGAGGCAGACAAAAGGCTGCGTTCCCATTCACACCAGTTGAGGCTTGGGGATGGGGGCGATGGGAGCGGTTTAGGAGACATCTCAGCAGGGATGGTCTCAATCCAGATTTCTTTTGGGGGGGGGAGACATACCAGAAGTCCAGGAGACCCCCTACACGCACGCCCCCTTTCCTTGCTTTCGACAGCGATTTAGGGGAAGCGGTTCATCGCTGTGGGTTTAGGGACCGATCCCACTGCCTAAAAATCCACACCCACGCCGGCAGAACAACCAGGCGATGAACGGCCCTCGCCCATCGGCCTGGAGGCGAGTGGATCCAGATTTGTATTCATTTTTTCAGCTGGCACCAATCGCTCCCTTCCCCTTCCTAGATTTCCCCGGAGGCAGAGCCTGTCCCTTTAAATGCGGTCCCTCAGTCTATTCCCCACCGAGCCATATGTATCCATCTATTTAAATACCCCCCCTCCGGGGGTCGGGGGCACTGCCCCCTCGCGGGTGTCGGCGGCTCTGATTGGGGGGCGAGGGGGCTGGTTTGCATGCACGCAGGAAGGCATTGGGAAGGGGCGGCGCTGCGCTTAGGCAGGAGGAGAAGGAGCCGCGGGGGAGACAAAGGTGCCGCTTCGCACCTTTGCCAGGCTGGCCAGCCTCTCCGAGCCCCCGTTTTCCTCTCTCCCCGCCCGGAGCCTGGGCTGTCAGGCGGGTGAAAGGCAAGCGGAAGACCCGGAGCCTGGTAGCCCCCCCGCCGCCCCGGGTTCCGGCTGGGAGATCGAAGCGGTGAAGGACAAGAAGGAAAATGTGGGTCCGGGGGCGCTGAGGGTTTCTTGCCTGGGCACCTTTCGATCCGTGCCGGGGAATCCTTGTCTGCGGTATGTGCCCACGCTGCGCCACCGGGCACAGGGAATGGAGGGGGTGCGGGTATGTGTGTGCCTGAATTTGGCTGCAATGAAACGACCCCACACAGTGGGTCTAGGCCTGGGGAGGGCAGTAGATGTGATCTAGAGACGCGGTAGAGATCATCGGAGACTGTTTCGGGTGGGTGTGGCATGACATGACAATGCCGTGCGTGGGTGTGGACGGGTGCTCTCTATTCTTCCATGTGCTAATATGGGGGACAGATTATGGTCGGCTTTTATGCGTTATTAAATGGGCCTCCTAGGCCACCGCGTTGTGTTTGTAGATGGAGGTGTATTTGCCGGCTACATGCTGCCATATGTGTGTGTGTGTGTGTGTGTGTGTGTGTGTGTGTGTGTGTGTATG